TATCTGAACAGAGGCCTGCTCCCGACATTATGGGAATTAATGAGAGCAAAGTAGAGACAGGCGATGCGAGGCATTACACATTTGTATTCTTCTCCCCTTGTAGCTGTGTACCGCTTTAACTGTTGAGTAATTTGTCGCTGTAGCCGGGTTTTTTTTTCCCTCTCTGAAATAAATACATTGCTTCAACTACCTCTAAACAGATTAAGGACACACAGAGACTTTATATGTCTTAAGTCGGTAAGTGCCTCTATCAAAATGTTGAGGAACACATGCGTGCTGTTGTCTCAAGCCATGTGACTAAACCAGCACAATGGGCGGGATATGACACGAGTTTCTATGAGGGATGATCCCATCCCATGGAGAATATGTCATTAACTGGGCCAATAACTGAGCCCTTAAAGCCTAATTGGTAATTGATAAATGTGGCTGGTGGCGCTGGACGATGGGAGCACAGTTACAAATCTCATCTCTTGCGAGGGGAATGGTGTGGCAGGCTCCGCAGGAATTCCCCAGAGTGTATTAAATGGCGAGAAAGGGCAGCGGTAATATGTTGCGCATTGATTCCACATGGCTGCACACAATAAGACCAGGACAATGGAAAAGGTGTATTAGAAAGTGCTCTGCTCAACAACTTGTCAGAAACTCTGTGGACGTGTGCCCCCTGTTGACACTGGATCAGAATAGTAAGGAAGCTGCAGACACAGCGCATCAGCCAAATGCCTGCTGTGCGAGGGTGAAATGGATAATCCTAAATCTACAGAGCATTTTTAAAGGCTTTAATGTGTTAAACATCAGTTATCATGATCTCACACAGCTATGTTTTTAAAGCATTTACTTTGACTCATCTAGTTCCTCAGAAAGATAACACCCACCTCTGGGAAGATTACGATCAAGGAAAAGGAGTTTTTTTTTAAAAAGTGTCTGCCCACTAGCCAGGCAGTAATACACAGCTTCTTCCCAGAGGCATGTTGAATTTCAGGTTTTCTGTAAGCCCATAGCAATTTCAACTTCGAGAGCAGCAGAATAAGGAGATAATGTGTCAGTGCAAGCGTACACAAAATGTTGTCATAAGGTCTTTATGACATGAAAGACACAAAAATAAACAAAAATATTTCAATACTTACATTGAATACCTTTAAATCTTTAATATAAGCATGACAAAACAGCAGGTTTATATTATGTATAGTTACCTGTAGGAAGAAGAGATGCTGTGTGATGTCTTGCACTAACTCCTCTTCAGCATTTTCGGGGTAAAACTTGGCCAGGAAATGAAAGGTGATTGGTTCCTCCTTCGGCACCTCCTGATCCAGAACCTACGATAATGAACCAGAGAAATCATCAATCATTTGCACGGCTGGGAGATGCGTTTCCTTTTCATGCCCGCTACGTCTTTATTAACAAGGTTTACATGATTCATGGCTGTCACAAGACCAGTATAACATGAGAATCACTTGCCTTCTTTTCCATCTTCAACCAAGCAACTGTGTCCTTTATGTCGTAGCGGAGCCCAAAGAACCACGTCTCCCTCAGTCCCAGAGTTCGGCACACCAAGTCAAAAAGGTCTTTTCCTTTCCACTTGACCTTGAAGACATAAATGTTTTTAGTCTTATACAATTTTATCAGAAGAGAAGAACTGAAAATGGGGAACTCTCAGAATTTGTTGAATTGATACTGAAAGAAATGTGTCATCCTGCAGCAAACAAAAGAAACACTGAACTCAAAACAGTGAAAATGCAGTCTATCACAGCTAAATATTCACATCCAAACTCTCTGACTTTGTCCCTGAAATTTGCACAAATTAGCAAAAGAACAAAAGCACTTGATTCATTATCAGGTTAGGCATTGACAGCCATTCATAAGACCAACAAGAATTCCCATCATAACCTCAGTCTCTGTTTCAGAGCAGGGAGCCACGCATGTTCTCCTGATCCAGCTCACAGCTCATATCAGGCACACATATCCAATTTAGATAGCTTTCATCTCTAGCCTCTGAGCTAACTCGGGGTGCAAGCTTATGTCAAGTGCATTCAAGGTTGGCGTGGAAAAAAAAATGAGTTAAAAACAGCAAGAAATGAGAATTACAGCTCCACCATGCAGCAGGGGAAGCCCACTAGGACAAATCAAAAAATCCTGTGTAAGGCTGAACGAGCATTTTGTCTATATGACCGATCCCCGTTAAATGCTATTTACAAAACCCATAATTGATACAATTATCATCCCAGCACAGAAAATAGAAACCTGCAACTAACATTATGCTGCTCTGTGTAATTACCCACTGCAAACTTTGGTGTGGTGCCTCCCCTTTAAGTACAGAGGTTGGTGTCTGCAAGTCATTTCGATGCCTTTCAGTTCTGGTATATCATCAGCCAAGTCATATGCTAAACCCCAAAACACTGCAAGAAGGCCTAAAATATATAATGAATCCAGAATAAATCAGTGCGTGTTTTTCTTTTTTTTTTTTTTCTTTAAATTCACACTGCAGGATGATGCAGTGATGAGTCTCACGCCCTATACTGCAAGTCCCATACTGCATTGAGCTTTGCCACTGACTAAAATGTTCTTGATCCCACTGCTGCATAAGACAGAGATACATTAGAACAGATACAGTCTTCTGTGCAATAGACCCTCCAAACCAACTGCGTGCGTTCAAAGTGACCTGCTGCCATCTAGTGTCGAGAAGTGACACTGTCCTCTTTTGGGAACCATCACCACTACTGTCGCCTAGACTCTGTACCTACACGCTAATGCGGCTGTCATTACAGATCATGGTTAAACACTGAATAACGTTGTAGCTGCATGACAACGCATCACAACTGGTGACCCAGTCAGTAGAAGAACTTAGATGCGCTTGTTATGTTCAGGGCCACTGCAAATGTGGGAACTTTTGATGCAAATTGCTTGAAATGACGCTCAGTTTGTCACACACACACACACACACACACACCTCGCAGCTGAACTCCATGTCTGACTCCATTGTGCAGATCCTGACGTTGAAGTTCCTGGCTTGTTTTCTTATCAGTGAGTTAAATCCCATTTTCGCTGCTAAGGCACTCGCCATGGCGAATAGCTGATTAACTCTTCTGTTATTCAAAGTCGTTAGTGCCTAAAAACCCGGGTGACCTGTCAAGGCATTGTGTCTATTACACTCTATGGCGGAGACATCAAATGAGTCATTTGGCAAAGCTTTAAGAGATGAGCACAGCTGGGAGTGGGACTACCTTTACGATAGCTCGCTCAGGATAGAGGCTTCAAAACAAGCTCCATTAAAGTTTACAAAAGACTTCCACTGACATTTTGTTTATCACTCTCTCATACACATTACGTATTTATGGTAGCTTTTTTGTTTTTTTAGTTATTTCACGCTAGCTACCAAAGGAAAAAGTTAGAAACATTTAGGATGAGTTGATACACACAGTGCACCGTCTGGCTGCTAGCTTTAGCCTGATTACACTGTTAGAAACTAAGTTGGCTAACTAACATTACATATCCAATATGAGCCCGTGTCTCGCACTAAAGTGATACGTCTCTATACCGCGAATCCATTAAAGTTTCCATCTACGCGTCCGAGACATGATAAGTCCAATATATCCCCTCTGAAGAGTTCAAACACTTCGTTAGGTCGCTGCTCACACACTGTGTTGGGAAAGAGGCGCTAGCCGACTGATGCTAACCGCTTGTTAGCCATCTCATCAAAGCAATGCTGCGTTCAAGTGCCGTACAGAATGTAGTAGTAACACTGTATCACAATCACAATCAGAATTTTGTTTATTGCCAAGTAGGTTTTTACGCCTACGAGGAATGTGACCTGGTGCAGTTGGTGCATAAAAT